GAGATGGGGTGAGAGGTGACATGCCAGGCTGGGAAAGGGGACAGTCAAGTCCCCCGGTGCAGATTAGGCTCTCTGGTGGTCATAACTGTAGCTTCAAGGGCTGCCCCGTGCACGACGTGAGGCTGTGAGGGGTGCTGGCCTTGTTGGTGGGGATGTGTGCCGTGCCGTGCTGTGCCGGAGCACCAGTGCTCTGCTCATCTGCCCCCTTCCCAGGGATGCCATTGCCAAGACTCTCTACTCCCTGCTCTTCGGCTGGCTCACAGACCGCATCAACAAGCGGGTGTACCCGCGGCAGGAGGCCCTCTCCATCGCCATCCTGGACATCTATGGCTTCGAGGTGAGCAGGATCCATCTTGGCTCCATCCCCACAGCCGCCAGGCCCGGGGCTGGGGGTTCTCAGGCACCGCGGACCTTCCTTCTTGCAGGACCTCAACTTCAACAGCTTCGAGCAACTGTGCATCAACTACGCCAACGAGTACCTGCAGTTCTTCTTCAACAAGATCGTCTTCCAGGAGGAACAGGTGGGTTGGCAAGTGGCGCTGGGCTCTGCCCCATGCCAAGCATCACCACGGGGTGGGGGGCACGGGGCTAACCAGGTGCCGGCCCTGCAGGAGGAGTACCTCCGGGAGCAGATTGAGTGGAAGGAGATCCCCTTCAGCGACAACCAGCCCTGCATCGACCTCATCTCCCAGAAGCCCTACGGTATCCTCCGGATCCTTGATGATCAGAGCTGTTTCCCCCAGGTGAGGGGCTGCCCGGTGGCGAGGCAGTGAAGACAGCAGCACCGGGTGGTCACCATACCCAGGGTGACACCATAGCCCAGGGCTGCTCCACTCCTGGGCTATCCTGGACAATCTGGGAGACCTCCCGGGTTTCTCCGGGCTGGACAAGCCCCAGAGCAACTGGAGCCACTGAAGCAACTTCTCCCAGAGGACTTGCTTTTGCAGGAATTCCTGAAAAACTGCTCCCAGCTGCCCTATAAAAGAGAGAAGGGTGGTTGCACCCTCTCTGCTGATGGGGAAACTGAGGCACAGAGCAGCAGATGCCCGTCACTGCGCAGCTGCTCGGTGGCAGAGCTGAGAGCGGGGTTTGGCCAGTTGTCCAGGCATCCCCATCCCAGTGCCTACATC